TTTATATTTTCAGTTATTATAATTTTAGTTTCTTATGAGTTCGATTTTTTGCCACTAACATCGTTCAAGTGCTAGCATTTGTGTACCCGATACATAAAAGTATTTTAATTCTTTTTTTCATCAGTGACGAAAGAATTATATAAAACTTTTCTTTTAAAAATTTAATATAATATCATATGTTTTTAAATACAAATCCAAAAAAATGTTATATTAAAGAGCCTGACTACAAATGTCTAAAACGTTATATAAAATTATAATAATATTTTTGTATAGGAAATGCATTTGTTTGGTATAATTGAATGATTTATGAGATCAAATAATTGTACGTTCTATTAATAAAATCACATACATTTATTTGGTAAAAATAGTTAATTGTTTGGTCCTATAAAGATTAAATCTTTTGGTCACTAATGAAGTAAAAATAATTAATATACTATCGTGTGAGGGGTACTCAACGACTTGCATTTGAATTAAGTTAGTGACAAAAATCGAATTAAAAACAAACTAAAACTATAATGACCAAAAATATAAAAAAAAACAAATTGTATGAAAAATATTTTATTATTTTATTATAAAAAATAACCAAAATAAATATACAGAATATATTTTATTTTTTAATTAAAAATAAATATAATTAGTAATACTTTTTAAATCTTTTTTTTATAATTTAGAAAATCGCTGACATATATTTTTTATTTTTAATTAAAATAAATTTCATCAATAATTTTGTTTAAATATAAGTATTTTTTTTAGTATATTTGCTTCATTTTATACATGTAAGTATTTTTCTGGTTCAAAAAAATATTTAGGGACTTAAGCGTTCAAAATATACAATTTCATTGATTTTTTTCAGATTTTTTTCATTATTTTACCATATTAATCAATTTTATAGGTCATAAGAATATATTTAACAGGTTTTTAAATGTCCAAAGACTTATTTATTTCAAAAATTGATCCAATAACTTAATCATTTTAAAACACTAAAATTCATTAGATTTTTTAAATTTTTCTCTTACATAAAAGTGCATAAAACATCTACGTAAAGATGAGTTATTTTAAAAAAGACTTAAAAAATAATTATAAAATAAAATAAAATTGATAGAATTGGGTATTTCTGTCGTTATCGTTGAATACGAAGGGTGAGGGTTGAGCCAGGAGCGAGGGTGGGGGGGCTAGTAGGGGTCCAGCCCTGTGACTCCTCCTCCTACTCCTACTCCATGTGAAGACACTGTCGGCATCCTACTCAGCAACACCCCTTCTTGCCACGTCAGATCTTTGTTACCCCACTAACTGATGTGCTGGGCCCCACTTCCACACACAACAGCTACGGCACGTCATTTTCACTCATTCCATTTGCTCCTCCCCTTTATCCTTTTTTTTTTCTTTCAAAAATCCATAAATGAAAACAAATTATTATTTTTATATCCCAAATATTTTTATAAATAAGACAGCGTATTCTTCATCACCGTAATCCAACACCCGTCGAGACCGATTGAGAAATCATCGAGACTTAGAGAGACCTTATCAAGATCGATCGAGAAAGTTTAAGAATTTATTCATTGACTTGATATGTATTTATGTGTATTAAATTATAACTTATCACCTTCATTTTTCATCGAGAACTTTGATTGATTTGTTATTTGTTTGTGTGTGTAAAATCATAGGCTATCACTTTCATCTTTTATCGAAACGGATGGGGAACCCATTGAGACCAATCAAGAACACTTCAAGATCGATCGACATCTATAGAGGCCAATTAACACTAATAAAAAACCCATCCATTAACTTGGTGTGCGGTTGTGTGTTAAAATCATAACATAACATCTTCATTTTTCATCGAGACCGATTAAAAATCTATTGATTAATTTATTGTGTGTTTGTTTGTGTAAAATCATAACCTCCCATTCTTAATTTTTATCAAGATGAATCGGGAAATCTATGAATCTAGAACATAATAAAGAAAAACTAAAGTATGCAGAGGTTGAAATATAATATATTCATGATGAATATTATAGTGAAAATTAATATTTATGATAAATATCATACTAATATGAATATAGAAAGTTATTGTATACACGTGGTAATACATAAATATTCATGATGAATAGTATGCATATTTATGATTAATGTTACAATGAAAATGTACATTCATGACAAATATCATTTTAATGTATGAATGTTGAAAAATTATTTTTATACACGTGAACATATATGAATATTCATGATGACTAATATGTACCATATTGATATATGAATACTGAAGAATTATTGTATAGACGCGAATATATAGACAGAGGAGCGATCAAATGCAAACCATCCAATTTGTACAAACCGTGCAAACCACTCTCATCCGTCGATTTCATTATTTAATCTTATGAAATTTTTTCAAGAAATTGTTTAATCTTATGAGAATTGTTTCATATAATACTTTTTTTAATGAAGTTGTTTCATATATGGTTATGAAATTGTTTTTTATAATACTTAATGAAATTTTAATGAAACTGTTTCATGTATTTCTCTAAAATTAAAATAATGAATATGATAATATCCATTATTAACATCATTCACAATAAAAATGATTAACTAACCTCTCATAATTACAAAAAAAAAAATGATTATAATTGGTTGAATTAGGTTTGTAAAGTAAACATTTTTTTTCCTCTCTCTCTCTCTCTCTCTCTCTCTATATATATATATATATATATATATAT